AACACCGATTCTCAGTCAACGTATGGGCTGGAATAATAGGTGACTATTTGCTCGGGCCTTTCTTTCTACCTCAAAGGCTTGATGCAGTAGAATATTTAAACTTCCTAGAAAACCATCTCCCTGAGTTAATGGAAAATGTTCCTTTAAATTTGAGACAATACATGTGGTACCTCCATGACGGGGCACCTGCGCATTTCAGTGTTCATGTTAGAGAGTATCTACATATGCGGTTTCCTAATCGATGGATTGGAAGAGGATATAATGCACCAATAGCCTGGCCACCGCGATCACCGGACTTGAATCCTGTCGATTTTTATCTTTGGGGACACGCGAAATCTCAAGTTTATGCAACCCCTGTTGATACAGAAGATCAACTTAGACTGCGAATTGTAGAAACCTTTAATTTAATAAGAAATAGTCTATTCATATTCCAAAGAGTCAGATTTAACTTTATAAAGAGACTGACAGCATGTATCGATGCAGAAGGAGGTCAATTTCAACATTTATTATAATAACATATTTTGTTTTAGTTCTGTTTTGGTTACTTAATTAAAAAAATTATTTTGGAAATTGATTGTATTCTTAAAAATTCACTAGGCTTAAGAAATGTATGTAAATAATTCGGAAGCACTCATCTCTCTGCATTTTGTAAATTTACTAGAAAACTAAACATTTTACATAAAAAACACAAGAGACAAAAAAATTTCTAAATTTAATGGTCTTTCTAAAAATCTTATGATACTTGCTGTACCTTTGCAGAAAAATTTTTTTTAGCAAAAAATAGGATACAGGGTGATAAAAAACATCCTTCTGCTTTCTCGATTTTATTCATATCCGCATTATTTATTGATTTCCTAAAGCTGATTAGGCCCTGAAAATTTCAGTAAGTTTTCTTTTTCCAACAAAGAGTTACGTCATAAAAACTACTTTTATAGTTGCACCTTTGAAGGTCTGTAACTTCAAAATGGTGCGTTTAAGAGGTTATGTTTATTAGAGTTTTTAGTCATATTTTTTTATGTACTATCACCACCCAAAGTTTGTAACATACCTTACGGGACACCCTGTATAGTCATTAACGTTATTGAAACTGACAGCTGCTATACAGCTCGTTGAGAAATGAGGTTAAGTTGGTCGCTATAAGCTACTCCCTACGTCCAATGTGTCAGAGCCAACTTCGACCACGTTTTTATTTGAACGCTCGTTAGAAATTCAAAAAACGCAATAATATACAGGGTGGTCCATTTAGAATAACAAAGTTATGTAGCACCCACGCGAAATGAAACACCCTGTAAAGCTAAAATATTTTCTTTACATGGCCTACATGATTCCAGACAACTTTTATTAAAACCATTTTTTTATAAACTTTACAGTTACAGAGTTACAGAAGAATCCCTCTTAAGTGGAACACCCTGTCTTTAATTGTTATAATCATTAGCATTTTTAAATTTATGTATCTATGAGATAAAGGTGAGTAAAATTAATATGGGCTTTATTATCTCATGTAATACTTTATATGGATCTTATATATTGATAAATTAACACTCGTAGACCTCCCTCCTACTCCAGGAGACGTATAATTTATAGAAGCGACCGCGCGATACGGATGTATTCGATATAGTGAGCGTAGTTCCAGTGTGATAAATATTTCAAAATGATGTGCATTCTACCTCTGATAGTGCTATTCACGTGGCCCTGCCACGGAGCGAACATACTAGCGATTTTGCCGTCGCCGTCATACAGCCACCAAATAGCTTACACGCATATATGGAAGGAGTTGTCTTTGAGAGGCCATAAGGTGACGTTAATTACGACCGATCCTGTTAAAGACCCAAAGCTGACGAACTTGACTGAAATTGATATGAAGTCGACATACGAGCTCATGGGAAAACTTTCTAACATATCAAAATCAGCATTTACAATGTGGAATGTGTACAGAACTGTCCAGAATTTCCTTAATTCTGTAGCTGAGGCTCAACTGTCTCATGCTGAAGTTCAAAGTTTAATCCACAATAAGAGTCACTTCGACGTGGTCCTAGTGGAGTTTATATACGTAGAATTTTTGGCATTCGCAGAAATATACGATTGTCCTAAAATTCTATTTTCTACGTTCGATCCGTACTCTCTCATCCATAGCCTGTTAGGAAATCCAATAAATCCGGTTCTGTATCCAGATATGGGAGCAACTTTCTATGGTTCCTTGAATTTTAAAGAGAGGGTTACAAGCTCTCTTTTTACTTTGTACAGTTTGTATTACTTCTATTATGAATCATATTACCAGAAAAGTGAAATTATAAAGAAGTACTTCAGCATTTCAAGAACTGCGCATGAACTGGTGAGTGACGTAGACATGCTGTTCCTCAATGTGAATCCAATTTTACAACCCATAAGAGCACTTGGACCTTCCACCATCATGATTGGTGGTAACAGAGGTGTGATTGACTCTACTCCTCTGCCTAAGGTATTTTTAAAAATATACAGGGTGTCTCATAATTAGCTGCCAACCCTGAATAGGCCGATTCTATGATCAAAACTAAGTAAAAAAGTTCATATGAACATGGGTCCGGAAATGCTTCCTAAGGGCACAGGGACCCGTTGAAGAGGGAGGAATGGAAATAATTTTTTTGCAATATCTCTCAATCGCGTTGTGATAAATGAATGAAATTTGGTATACACAGCTAAATTTTGATGAGCAATTTGATGGACTAATCCATTTATTTCCACAAGGTCCATTGGGGTGGGTACGGGGGCCCTTGGTACTTTGCGTGTAACTTTTTCATCTTTGACTTTTTAACAAATTGGACAGCAAATTCCTTTTTCCCGAACTGTTTTACGTTAAAAAGGTACTCTTGTTTCAAATCGTTATCTTTAACGGTTTCTGAGAAAATCGCTCTTGAATTAATCCCACTTTGGTCAATTTCATAGTAATTTAAACAAAAAAAATTTTTTTGTTTAAATTTAATCTAATTTTAATAAAAAAATAATAATAAAAAATTAAATTAAATTAAAATTAATCCTTTAAATGGAAAATAGAGGAAAGGAAAATTATTATTATTATTATTTGTCGCATCTGTATTAGTAAGTAACCTGTAAAAAATTTGTTATTTGTATCTCGTTCGACTTTCAAATTACAGCCAATTTTTATAATTTTTTTGGAAACTTTGATGGCCCATATCTCTTCAGGGGTAAACATTTTACCAAGGCGATTTTTTGTAGATCGTGTTCTTTGGAAATGTAGATTCACTGGTATCATTTATGCTACTCCATTCAAAAACACCCTGTAGAGTGTGTATTCACATCGGCAAGTCAAACATGAATGAACGCATTCCCGTCTTTGTTTAAGAACATTCTATTACACATTTTCCCTTAGAACCGTAATTTTTTGAGATGCAGGATATTAAAGCTTTCAAAACGATCTGTGTCTTCGGACCAAGTGAAACAAATTTCCAATCCAAACTGATGAGACAGGCATTAAGTATGATGGTTACATACTCCTAAAAAATTATGAATCGCCAATGGAAAATATATGTATTTTCTTGTCATATTTTTGAAATGCAAATTTAATTTTGAGGGAAAAATGTTCTGATGATCCGGTTAAAATTGTTTAAATGAATTTATTAAAAAATAATCAAAATGACGTCTCATTCTCAAGATACATTTTTTACATTTCAAAAATAACAAAAAAATTCTTTCCGACCGGTGGCGTGCCATAGTATTTAAGTAAAAAATAGTAAAATACAGGGCATATTTCGATTTATTGATACGTGTACAATGAGCAGAAAACATTTTTTTATTTTGCCATATCTTAAATAATAAAAAATTGACACATAAAATTTACATTTATTTCAATAATTTCAAAAAGGCAATTTGCATTTTATTCGAACGACACATACTTTTTTTGCGAAATTTATTTTTTGATTAAAAAAAATCGCTATTCCGAGAGATGTGATTAACATGATGTTACTCATTTCGCATAAAAGTCGCTGATGTACTTTAAAAAATCATAGCACGTATATCTCAGTTGCGAGCAAATTATAGTTTCCAGATTTGTGACTGTTTAGGGTCTATTTAAAGTATATCTGAGCTGTTCTTCGGTTGAACTCGATGAACCAGATCAGATTAAAAATCTAGAAGGCTTTGGACTTTTAAATTGTAGAGTCTGCATTTAAGCATGTAACATATTTTCATAATTTTAACAGGACTAAATATTTTCACAATTTCGGATATCTCCATTGCCTTCTAGGTTTTTAAGGTGAAAAAATTAAAGCTGGCGTTTTTTCCCCATCATTTGTACCAACGGATAAGCATATTAATGTTGAAATATAGTTTAAAGTGAACAAACCGGCAGCGTTTTGTCGGATGCGGCTACTCAAATTTGTTTTTTTTTTCAAAAACTCCTTGATTTGTACCACCTGCAGACTATGAAATTCGGCTTTAGGAATATAATTTGACCACAAAAGTGCAGTTAATAATGTCGGTAGCGTTTGTTAATTGAAACATAGGTACCGGCGTGAACATTGTAGCAGTCTGTGAGTGCAAGCGGGATGGATTCAAGCTCGTAAACGCTCAGCGGATGGAGAAGGATATATTTGTGTGAAAATATAAGCAAATATATATTTTATTGAAACTTAACATTCAGTTCTTTGGGAGACACTTTGTTTTAATCGGAAGTGTGTACACATTTCATTCTTTTCTAATGGCGTGTCTATAAACTTGTCATTAGTGTCCGACCGAACTTTGAGTTTCGGTTTCGGTTTCGGCATAGTTTCGGCAAACAAAACGGGTTTCGGTTTAGTTTCGGTTTCGACTGCCATCCAGCCGAAACTACGGCCGAAACCGTAACTGAATTCGAGAGATTTCGCGCTGCGATCGGACATGCTCGATGCACTGATTGTGAGCTGCGAGCGACGAAGAGTCATTTTGCCGGGTCCACGCTCATAGTCGTATCATAACTAACTTGTTTTGTTTGTGTCTGTGCATCGTGAAATTTGCATTAAAAATATCTAGTTGTTGTACTTAGTAGGTAGGTACATTTTAATTTTAATTTTATTGTAGTTGATTAACAAGAGTGCCATATAAAATGACCAAAGTTAATTTAATAATAAATAATTTGAAGAAGTTAATTTGTTCTTAAGATGAAAGATATTTTTTTGTTTTCTGTAAGTATCTAAACATATTATGTAAAAAGTAATTTTGTTTTGTACCTTTTATTTTATGTTATTCGTAAATAATATTAAAAATAAATAGTAGGTAGTAGGTTCAAATTATTTATTTTTTTATTTATTTCAAAAAGTACAAATAATTTATTTGAAATAAGGTGTGATAATATGTTATATTAATGATTAGTTCAAATATCAGAGAATAAATAAAGACTGACTAATTATGATTGACTATTTATTTTTCTTCCCACAAAAATATGACCTTATATGGAAGTTTCGGTTTCGGTTTCGGCCGTAAAAAGTAGTTTCGGTCGGACACTACTTGTCATGCTACATTTTTTAACTTATAATCATCTATCTAAAATAAGTGAAAACTTATACCATTACGAAAGCATTTTTTTTCTAAAGATTGTTTATTATTTTAATCCTTCATGACGGCCTAATAGAGCTTTTTATTTTCGTGGCATTCAAAGAAACGTGGCGGCAGATTAATGAGCATGTGTTGTTTACTAATGTACTTATACCATTACGAAAGCCATACTTCCAGCGTGTGCATTTGTTTCTAAACATTGTTTATTTTAATCCTTCATGACGGCCTAATAGAGCTTTTTATTTTCGTGGCATTCAAAGAAACGTGGCGGCAGATTAATGAGCATGTGTTGTTTACTAATGTCGCTTAACATTAAAATTGACATTTTTCATAAAATATTAAATCAAATGTAGTTTTCTTATATACAGGGTGTCTCATAATTAGTCTCCAATAACTTATTACATACTTGATTATATTGCCATCAAAAATTTTTATAGGACAAGACTTGATTATTTTCATCGGTAGAATATGCCATTAAAGTTAAACTTATCATTAACCACCTGTATAGTTCCAACATAAAAGTTGAAAATTCATTTCTGATTTTATATCAGTAAATGCACTAATTTGCTGTTTAACAGAAAAGGTACATAGTACATAATTTTGTTCCATTTTTTATTTATTACATCCTGTACTTACATAGTTTCACAATGAATTGTCCAAATTCTATTCTAAAACAGCTAAGTATATGTATTTAAACACAATGATTTTATAATTGTTTTCTAGGACCTTGCTAACTTCTTAGACAACGCTAAGGACGGTTTTGTTTACTTTAGTTTAGGGAGCAACGTAAAGAGCAAAGACCTTCTTACTGAAACACGAGAAGCGATAATCGAAGCATTTAGAGAGTTACCATTTAAGGTTTTATGGAAATTTGAAGCGGACGAACTCCCAAATAAACCAGACAACGTTAAAATTATCAAATGGGCTCCACAGCAGGCAGTTTTGTGTAAGTTGTAACTACGATTGAGTCTTATTAACTTCACTACATATTCATATTTACACATAGACGCTGGAGAAACTATTTAATTATGTTTGTTGTAGCTCATCCAAACATAAAGGCTTTTGTTACCCAAGGTGGATTGCAATCCTTTGAGGAGGCACTTTATTGTGAGGTGCCTTTTGTAGTAATACCGTTTTTCGGAGACCAGGAACAGAATGCGAAAGTAATAGAAAATAAGGGTATGGGTGTAGTTATCAATAAAAAATTTTCCGTGGGCAAAATAGAACTGAAAAATGCTATCCTAGAAGTTACTAAAAACACAAAGTAAGTTAAAATGGTATCACTATCACCACTCTGTATATTACTGCATTTTCAACTTCCTCGTTCATTTTAATATTTTGTGTATAAAAGATTACTTTTTCGAGTTACTCTAGATGCGAATTACTATAAAAATCTGTTAGTACTTATAAAATGTCAGATTAAACAAATAATACGTGTATTTTGTACAAATAATTTGTCATAGTCCAGGAGGTAGAGCATTCGAGGTGTTTGAATTTGAAGTCATCCATTTCGTTGTACAGAAAAATCACAAATATATGTAGAATAAGAATCTGAGTTTGCCTATTCCAAAAAATTATTGCTAAATTCAGGGGAATAACAAACATAGAAAAAGAACGAAAAATTACCCGTTTTTCGACATATTCTTCCCTGTAGCATTGAAAGTAAGCCCTAAATAAAAAAAATCGTTCTTTATTTTTTGTTTATTTGAAGGTATTCTATAAGTTGCAATAACTGCGGATAAAAATAGGTGTATTTTGCATTAACAATGGACAGGAAATAGTAGAAAATCATATTATATTTGGAGAAATTTTTAAAATAAGTAAATATTTATAAATGTTGATGAAATTTTGTGAATAAATAGTAAAACATATGTCAATTCTACCCTAAAAATTGTGCAACAATCGATCCCGTGATTTTCTATTAACAGGATTGTTAATTAAGAAAATTTGAAAAAGTTTATCGTATACCGTGGATTTAAGTTAAGATTTAGAAAGGGCACAAAATTTTTTAGAGATACTTGTTTTTACACTTTTATAATAATTTGGATTTTTTTTTAATTTTTCGACAATTTACTCTATAAACAATTATTTATTGTCCAGGGAATTTTTATTGCAATCGACAAAATCTTGCACATATAAAAACTACGTCGTAACGCCTTTTAAAAAAATTGGAAATGATTATAAAAGTGTAAAAATAGGTATTTTTAGTATTGATCATTGTTTATTATGACAACAAGACAATTGAGTGCCCGTTTTAAACCTTCATTTAAACCCACGCCCACGACACGCGATATATCTCAATTAACAATCCCGTCAATCGAAAACCACGCGATCGATCGTTGCAAAATTTTTAGGGTAGAGTTGACATATGCTTTACTATTTGTTCACACAGTTTCATCCATATTTATAAATATTTACTTATTTTAAAAATTGCTCCAAATATACTTATGATTTTCTACTATTTTTCGGCCATTAACTCAAAGTTAAACTTTTTTGATTCGAAGTTGTCGTAACTTTATAGAAAATCGTCAAATAAACAAAAAATAGAGAATGACTTTTTTACTGGGAAAAATATGTCGCAAAACGGGTCATTTTTTTTTTGTATTGTTATTGTTCCCCTGAAGTTAGCAATGATTTTTTGGAATAGGCAAACTCGGATTCTTATTCCACATAATATTTGTAATTTTTCTGTACAACAAAATAGATTACTTCAAACACAAACGCCAAAGCCTACTTCTACTGCTCCACCGCCTGGACTATTAAAAATTCGTAGGAACAGATTTTTCAAATGAATAGTTCAATTCAATTCAAGAAAATCCAAACTGCAGCATCTTTATTTATTTCAAATATTTTCTGAAGGAAGAAAGATACAAACTTGCGGTTTTAATTCTTTGTTTCAGCTTGAAAAACTCACTTTTGAGAGAGAATTTTGAAAATTAAATATACAGTGTTCCATTTAATAATCAACATTTATAGCAAATACTCAGTGTGGCTGAAAATATTTATAGCTGATCAACATTGAGGTAAATTTTGGCTGACACTTTTTTCTAAAATTATGGAACTTTGGAACACTATATAATTTATTATGTAGTTTTCTACATCTTTTATTCTTACCTTTTTTTCATATCTTAAGGTATAAACAAATATGAGAATTTTCGCCTGACCACCTTTCGATTTTCACTTTCAGATATCATGATGCGGTAAAAAGAGTGAAGCAATGGGTTGTAGATTCTCCAATGACTGGCCTCGAAAAAGCAGTTTGGTGGACAGAATACGTCATCCGAAATAAAGGAGCCAAGCATCTAAGAAATCCAGCTGCAGATATTCCGCTTTATCAATATTTTCTCGTAGATGTTATCGGTTTTCTTGTTTTGGCAATAAGTGCGACATTTTTACTTCTGTTTTTATTTATTAGAACAATTTGTAGGTTAGTGGTTTCGAAATATGTAAATAAGATAAGTAAGAAAAAGTCTGCATAAATTTATTTTTAATTATTACAGTATATAACCTCATTTTACGTGAAATTTTATTGTTTTGATGGTTTGAAACTGAAACGATTTTTGAGTTGAGAAGTTGAGCTGGAAGGAAATGGATGATAATCTATTTGTGATTTTAAACAAAAAAAAAGTATAATTAGGTTTCCTGACATAATACAAAAAGTAAATGTATAAACAAATTTCCATAATTCATAAATTTTGTAATATTAGTGAGAATGATAATTTAAATAAATAAAGGGATTATGCTTAAATTACGTTTTTTTTACATTTTTACAAAAAGTGAATATTTACGACCTACTACTATCCACAGCTTAAACATAGTGTAGATATTTATGAATCGACGTGGATCTGCATTGCCTATCTCCTCTTTCCGCTGCTGATTTGGTATTATATTACAGAGTACCTCGATGATTGTCTACAACTGCACAGTGACTTAAATACTCTATAAAATGGTGTGATAAGAACAAATTACATTTGAACATGAATAAGTGCATCAATGGACATGTTTTAAATCACACAGGCATGTTTAAAAACCTGGGAATAACCTTTGACATATGATAATAGTATTGAAGGTATTCAAAGGAAATTTTTAAAATTCTTAAGCTTCGAGATGAATCGCCACTATCTTTGAATTGGTTATAACAATTCCTTTTAGATCGCTTTGAATACAGATGGTTGTTGCAATGCAGGGATGCAAAGTCTAATCAGTTTATATCAGTTTGTAAATGGCCTAAAAGACTGTCGACAGGTTTTTGAAAAAAAGTAGTTTTAGACCAACTAACTTAACCATTGCACAATGGTTCGGTGTTGAAAGTTATTAATTACATTTTGAATAACATTTGGTGTTATGTTACGAACTTCTTCTCTGATACGATTTTTCAATCCTTCGATAGTTTCTGGTTTGTTCACAAAACTTTGCTTTTTAGATAATTTCACAAAGAAATGTAGTGGGGTTAATCAGAATCCTGTCTCATTTCGTTGTCTATGGGCAACCCTCAATAAAAATGGTAGATGTTTAGAGTAAACAATTAGCGCGATTAAGTGCAGTCAAAAAAGTTTCTAAATAATGTGCTATTTTGTAGTTTTATGATAAAAGTTTCTCAAGTAAAATAAGAAGTACTTATATTTTATCAAATTATGATAATCAGAAGAATTAATTAATGGCTTCTTCTGCTTACTGTTTTCATATTTGATCTAAATTAGTTTTTAAAACGAACTTTTTTTTTTCGGTTTTCCTTTATTATTGACCATATATTACTCATTATATGTCATACATTATATATTACATATTATATAACAAATACTGTATACCATACACCATATACCACTTTCTATATATCATATATTATATACATATATACAGGTATACACGTATATACATATGTACACACATATTTTGTTATGCCTAGGTCATCATTTTCGTTTCGAAAAACAATGTTGCAATAATGCACAATTCCGATTCATTTTATAATAAGAAAATATTAGAAAAATACTGTTTTTTTACTATAGAGTTCGACAAAAGATCTTTCTGAAATTTCTCTTTCAGTTATCCTTTTGACTTGAAACTGTTATATTTTCCAAATTGTTTATACTCCATCTGCTTACGCAAAAGTAAGGAGTGAAACGAGTTTAGGTTTTATATCTTTTTACAAATGGTAACATTTTCAAAATTATATTTTTCACAAAAGAAGTAGAACCAGGTTAGGATTTCAAGTCATGGAATACTTGCTGTAGGTTTTCGCAATAACCTTAATTTGTAGGATACTTTTAATAATTATTAAGGGCGGAATAAGAGTGTTGCTTTTCAAACACAGTAGATAATGTTTTAAATTCTTTTATGTAAGTACACCAATCTTATATTAACATATATTTGGTAGCAAGCTTAATGTCCTTTTTTTTTTCTATTTCTATATCGACCAAAAAATGTTGGTGATATCGATGTTTTATTGTGGTCTCCAAATGAGAGAAGTAAACCAAAGTAATTCATAAAGAAAAATAAATATATTTACACGTGTCGTGTATACATTATTTTTTTTTTTTTTGTTTATGGAACATCGTCGCTCCTTTACCAATTTGGTAATGTGGAGGTACTTGCAGCTTTTTAGGTTTTAACTGAGGACTGGCGTAAAGTACAGATTTTACAGACAAGAGGATTATATATACATTCTTTGATACTATGAATTGCTTAATGCTTAATGGTGATAAATCACAAATTCCTGGGGATAGAATTTTTATCACCTCATCAGAAAGATTATAGCCATTAATATGTACTAAACTTTGCTACTAACAGCATGCACAATGCGTCACAAGACCCGAGGGAAGCAGATTGCAGCACCGCTTCTTTCTTAATGATGGTGACTGCGAATGCTCGGGTACTCATGACATAAAGAGGGTGCAACATTTAAACCCTTCCTATATAAATATTATTACAGAACAAAGAGAAGCAATAGGTTTACATTTTCAAGCTAATTTAGATAGAGTACTATTGGGAAATAAAAGAACTGTAGCTATTTGAAACGTTTTGATTTTCGTCTTGATATTTTGTTTCAGAAACATCAGTAACTATTAGTATGACCGAAATTTTTACTTTGGACTTTAATTCAAATTCAAGTCAATGTATAGTCCTCTGACATAATAGCTATAAGACACATATAAATGTAGTTCCATTTCGTGATGTATACTTGTTATGTAAGTGTGATATTAATTATTGCTTTGATTTGTGAAAACCAAATTTTTCTTTGATTCATAGCCCAAAGAACATAGCTATAAAGTTACAGTATGTTACATTCTTAAAGGAAACCGTTTTTTACAACTTTGTCTCTGAATGGCTTTGGTATATGGCCATTAATTCAATACCTCTTCCAAGTAAGATGCAGTTGCTATATTCATTTTACTAATTGGTTTAATATGTCCATGACAAATTAGATTATATATTAATTTTCAGCCAAAGGAAGCAACTAAATGTCTGAACTTATATTTTAAATTTCCTAAACATCCTTTTGATTTTGTCTGTCGTTGATGTAGTTTTTAGACAGTATTATTTCGATATTGCTTGTACTAATATAATTTGTGTATTATACTTTTAAGTGGCATGTAGTTCATCTTAACAGATGCAAACTTTTTGATTTGTTTGGCCACAATCAACAAAATTCCATACTTGGTAAATGATATATTTATATGTACAGGCATATACTTAGATATACACTGTAAATAAATCTATCTGAGTGAAATCCATTGAGTGACATTATTGAACACATTTTCAGTCAGTACTGGACACCCCGACAACTCTACACATTTTTGATAATATTTGAACCGATAGTTTTACTCATAAAATTTTAGTTGTATTTACTCATACCAATAGAGGAAAATTTCACTCAATCGAGTGGACAGAAATTGATACATTATTGAGTGAAAATAGGTCAAATGTTCCTTACAGTGTATATTTTTTAACTTTTATAACTTTCGTACGCTTCTTAGGTTGTAACTCTGGTTAATATTAACATTTTATTCATACTATCATGTTACTCTTCATTTAACCTAATACTTCATTTAAGGTTTTGTTACGTAATAGCTTCCTGATACTTCATTGAAAGTTCCCTTATTATCACTTAATTTTGTCCTCTCCTCAATTGCTATCTTTTCATACACTGTCATAAATGAAACAGTATGTATAAAAAACAAAACATAATCGGTCTTTTTTTTAATATACTTATAGAGAGACAGAGGAGTTGCTCAATTAAGTTTTCTATAATAACATGTCACTCTGATACTCATGTTTGATGATAGTGCCATACCTAGTAATCGAATGTTTTTTTTTGTTTATATACACATGCGTACATGTATGTACACACCTACATCTATATAGATTATTTTAATCAAATAAAATATATAAGGTGTTATTAGAAAAACTGCTTGTATAATTCACATTAAGTTTCATTGTAGAATAGTACCTCTGAGTGACAAAACAATGCACTCATTTTTAGATTTCATGTACTCTATTTTCAATAATTAAAATAATATTTCCCTTACGTGTGATTTATCTCGGATTCATGGAAATTCTTTTCTTTTGCATAATTACACTACACAAAGCACAATGATACACAAAACAAATAGGACCTGCACGTGCGGCACAAATAAATGAACTGGCTGGCTATCAATAAGTAGTAACGGACTGTTACGAAACACTTTTTTCCTTTAAACCTGTGCGCGCGTCATGTACAAGTGAGACCTACCAACATGAATCATAGAAGAACGGAGATGCGAAAAATAATTATATTTTCTACGTTAGATACCTACGCAATCACTCATCCTCACCTTTTGGGAAACCCAACGCATCCGATTTTGTACCCTGACTAAATTTTAAAGAAAGGGTGACAAGTATTCTCTACACCTGGTATACGTTCTACTTCTACTATTATAAATCATTTTATGACAGGAGTGAAATTGTAAAGAAGTATTTCAAAATTTCAACAACTGTGCATGAACTGCTGAGTGATGTAGACATGTTCCTCAATGCGAATCCAGTTTTACAACCCATGAGAGCTTGGACCTTCCACCATCATGATTGGTGGTAACAGAGACGTGACCGTCTCTATTCCTCTCCCTAAGGTAATTTAAAAACAGATGTGTTCCATTTTATAGTTTTTATAGTTTTTTATACAAAAAATCTAATTAATCGCAAATATTTTTCTTAAATGGTCCCTAAGGATGGTTGTATTTGTAAATTGCATTTCCAAGAATATTACAACTGTTTTCAGGTGTCATTCTTATTTTACATCCATTTAAATTTTGCTGAATTAACTAATGTTGAGAAAACGGCAAATTCTGCACATTTGCAGGAACAATTTGCGATTCTTGAAAAAAAATCTCAGTAAGCCAAACCACTGAAAGGAAAGTAGCATGTTGTTAAATTACTTTAATCAAAAAAATTCCTATTGGAATTTTACAAAAACTGATATCTAAGACAATAAGGATTTGTAATTTTATAATTTTTATCTAAATGTATTTAGTTGTGTCATTGTGCCTTCGTGTAATCCTGTAATCTCACAACGATAAGATAAATACTGGCAAGTCACAAAAACATATTTCACAATGAACGGAGTGTCCCAATTAGGAAGGTTTCTTCCATTGCTTTGATATCAATAATACAAAACAGTGTTCAAGTCATTATCCCATTTTATCGTTGTCTCTCTTCGTCTTGAAAAACAGACAGATTTTCGATATAATTTCAT